GTAAAGATTTATATATAGGAAGTCCTGTTTCGGCCATCGGGACAAGTTTCGGGGTCATCGGTATTGTACCGGGACCACCGGAAGGGTCCCGGGGGCCCACCGGGTGGGGCCACCTGCCCCGGGGGGCCACATGGGCTGTAGGGGGTGCGCCTTGGCCTACATGGGCCAAGGGCACCAGCCCCAAGAGGCCCATGCGCCTAGGGAACCCTAGAGGGAAGAGTCCTAAAGGGGGAAGGCACCTCCGAGGTGCCTTGGGGAGGATGGACTCCTCCCCCCCTCTTGGCCGCACCCCTTTCTTGGAGTAAGGGGAAAGGCTGCGCCTCTCCCCTCTCCCTTGCCCCTATATATAGTGGAGGGGAGGGAGGGCATCCATACCTGAGCCCTTGGCGCCTCCCTCCCTCCCGTGACACCTCCTCCTCTCCCGTAGGTGCTTGGCGAAGCCCTGCAGGATTGCCACGCTCCTCCATCACCACCACGCCGTTGTGCTGCTGCTGGATGGAGTCTTCCTCAACCTCTCCCTCTCTCCTTGCTGGATCAAGGCGTGGGAGACATCGTCGAGCTGTACGTGTGTTGAACGCGGAGGTGCCGTCCGTTCGGCACTAGGATCATCGGTGATTTGAATCACGACGAGTACGACTCCATCAACCCCATTCACTTGAACGCTTCCGCTTAGCGATCTACAAGGGTATGTAGATGCACTCTCCTTCTACTCGTAGCTGGTTTCTCCATAGATAGATCTTGGTGACACGTAGGAAAATTTTGAATTTCTGCTACGTTCCCCAACACAATGACGCTAGGGTTATAGGGAAAGTATGTACGCGGTTACCGAATGTTGTTCAGATTCCCAGATAAGATCCCGGACGTCACGAGGAGTTCCGGAATGGTCCGGAGGTAAAGATTGATATATAGAAAGTATGTTTTTGGCCACCGGAAGTGTTCTGGGCATCACCGGTAGTGTACCGGGACCACCGGAGGGGTTCGGGGGTCCACCAGGTGGGGCCACCAGCCCCAGAGGCCTACATGGGCCAATAGTGGGAAGGGACCAGCCCCTAGGTGGGCTGGGGCGCCTCCCACCAAGGCCCAAGGCGCCTCCAAGAGGGGAGGGGGGCAAACCCTAGGGCAGATGGGCCCTAAGGCCCACCCCAGGTGCGCCTCCCCGTCTCCCCCTTGTGGCCGCCACCCAGATGGGATCTGAGGGTTGCCGCCACCCCTAGGGAGGGAACCCTAGGTGGGGGCGCAGCCCCTCCCCTTCCCCTATATATACTTGAGGTATTGGAGGCTGCAAGACACACGAGATCCTCTCCCTCTTGGCGCCGCCCTACCTCTCTTCCTCCTCGTCTCTCGTAGTGCTTGGCGAAACCCTGCTGGAGTCCCGCGCTCCTCCACCACCACCACGCCATCGTTCTGCTGCTGGATGGAGTCTTCCCCAACCTCTCCTTCTCCCCTTGCTGGATCAAGGCGTAGGAGACGTCATCGGGCTGTACGTGCGTTGAACGCGGATGTGCCGTCCGTTCGGCACTAGGATCATCGGTGATTTGAATCACGACGAGTACGACTCCATCAACCCCGTTCACTTGAACGCTTCCGCTTAGCGATCTACAAGGGTATGTAGATGCACTCTCCTTCCCCTCGTTGCTAGATTACTCCATAGATTGATCTTGGTGATGCGTAGAAAATTTTGAATTTCTGCTACGTTCCCCAACAGTATATTGGCCATCCAAGCTACCTCTTGACATTGTGTTGGGAGTCTCCAAAGATTGGATGAAACAAAACGAGGTCACAAGATATTCTTCAGAAATCCTCGTATGTGTTCTTTTCATTTTTACGGGGGTGTCGGTGCTCAACAACCTTCCCTCTTTGGATAGAAACCCGATATGACACTTAACGACCTCATTAGTCCCTTAATTGACTATCATGAACACCAAATCAATCCAGAGGCATAAATGCACTTTCAAGATTTCTACATGTATCCGACCTCTCCCTTTGTAGGATACATACGTTGGTTAGAATCTCACAAAGTTTGTCATCAAATTGGATCAAACATGATACATTTTCCCACATCCTCTATTTTTATTGAAAGAATTTTTGATTGTTAGAAACCTCAATCTAGCTATGCTTTAAACCAAATTTTACCGATGCGCGTGCGCTCGGTTTATGAGGACAACATCATCCTTTTGGGCTTTTTATATGCGTGCTTTCCTAAAACTAGATGATGCCCGCGCGTTTGCGGAAACATGTTAAAACAAATGCATCAATAAATGCTTTAAAAATAAAACTAATGAAAATACAAATATAAGAGGGTTCTTTGTTTATGTCCTAAAAACAATAAAATATAGTGACACAATATGATGCATAAAAAGAGAAACTTTTTTGGCACTGACATAATGTGACACCATCTTTTAACAAATATGTGAAGCGTGAACTATATATTTTTGCTCCAAGGGTCCAACATATATTGTTCATGACTACACAAAAGTTAGCACAAAAAAATAATTCGTGTCTACCATTTATGAATTAATTCTCGCGGAAGAAAATACATGCATGATTTAATGAAGTGGCATAGTTTGCATGGTGATGCAAGAAGTGTAACTTATGAGTACATGCATAACTTTTAAGGTCAAAGATTTTGATCGGTGGCTACAAATAATTAAGGTGATGTGAAAGCATGTATGTTCAGAGACATCTAGTAATAGGGCTAGCTATTTAGATATAGTAGATAACAGCGTGTGCCCTAAGAAGTTGATGATGCCCGAGCGCTATCAATCACTTCGATAACTACCTAAAACAAAGCCATTATATCAGTTCAGTGGAATCATACCATACAACATTAAACTTAGAGAAACTGCTTGAGGACCCACAAGTGTAGGGGATCTATCGTAGTCTTTTTGATAAGTAAGAGTGTCGAACCCAACGAGGAGCAGAAGGAAATGATAAACGGTTTTCAGCAAGGTATTCTCTGCAAGTACTGAAATTATCGGTAATAGATAGTTTTATGATAAGGTAATTTGTAACGGGTAACAAGTAATAAAAGTAAATAAGGTGCAGCAAGATGGCCCAATCCTTTTTGTAGCAAAGGACAAGCCTGGACAAACTCTTATGTAAAGGAAAGCGCTCCCGAGGACACGTGGGAGTTATCGTCAAGCTAGTTTTCATCACGTTCATATGATTCGCGTTCGGTACTTTGATAATTTGATATGTGGGTGGACCGGTGCTTGGGTACTGTCCTTCCTTGGACAAGCATCCCACTTATAATTAACCCCTGTTGCAAGCACCCGCAACTACAACAGAAGTATTAAGGTAAACCTAACCATAGCATGAAACATATGGATCCAAATCAGCCCCTTACGAAGCAACGCATAAACTAGGGTTTAAGCTTCTGTCACTCTAGCAACCCATCATTTACTTATTACTTCCCAATGCCCTCCTTTAGGCCCAAACAATGGTGAAGTGTCATGTAGTCGACATTCACATGACACCACTAGAGGAAAGACAACGTACATCTCATCAAAATATCGAACGAATACCAAATTCACATGACTACTTATAGCAAGACTTCTCCCATGTCCTCAGGAGCAAACGTAACTACTCACAAATCATATTCATGTTCATAATCAGAGGGGTATTAATATGCATAAAGGATCTGAACATATGATCTTCCACCGAATAAACCAACTAGCATCAACTATAAAGAGTAATCAACACTACTAGCAACCCACATGTACCAATCTGAGGCTTTGGGACAAAGATTGGATACAAGAGATGAACTAGGGTTTGAGATGAGATGATGCTGGTGAAGATGTTGATGGAGATTGACCCCTTCCCGATAAGAGGATCGTCGGTGATGACAATGTGATGATTTCCCCCTCCCGGAGGGAAGTTTCCCTGGCAGAACAGCTCCGCCGGAGCCCTAGATTGGTTCTGCCAAGGTTCCGCCTCGTGGCGGCGGAGTTTCGTCCCGTGAGCTTGCTTATGATTTTTTCCTCCACGAAAGACCTCATATAGCAGAAGATGGGCATCATAGGGCTGCCAGGGGGCCCACGAGGCAGGGGGCGCGCCCCCACCCTCGTGGACGGTGGGTAGCCCCCCTCTGGTACTTCTTTTGCCCAATATTTTTTATATATTCTGAAACACGCTCCCGTGAAGTTTCAGGACTTTTGGATATGTGCAGAATAGGTCTATAATATTTGCTCATTTTCCAGCCCAAAATTCCAGTTGCCGGCATTCCCCCCTTCATGTAAACCTTATAAAATAAAAGAGAATAGTTATAAGTATTGTGACATAATGTGTAATAACAGCCCATAATGCAATAAATATCGATATAAAAGCATGATACAAAATGGACGTATCACTGCTCACATCGCCTAAAAGAAGTAGAAGTTTCAATTGAAGGATAATAATAGTGAGAAAAAGGATTGGAGCCAATAATACAATGGAGCTAGTAGAAGTTTCAATGTAGGGGTTTGTTGTCTTGTACCCCCAGCAAGACTTCTTTATTTTCCTTGTCACACTTGGCTCTTGAGCTTGGGATCTTGAACTTTCGATGATGTTTGTTGTGGGTGTTGTGGCTTTATAATATAAAGCGGGGGAAACCCTTTTTCGTCATACGATGACTTCGTGCATCATAAACAAAACATTATTGAAAGGGTTGCATCCTTCACACGGTTATCAAACTAACAATCTTTTAAATATCAAAAATATGTTTTTACCGAGAATATGCATAAATGTGCATATCATTAATGGATTGACTAGATACAAGTCGACTGAAAAACATATATTGGGTAAGTCAATTTTGCCAGGACCAATCTGAAGCGTTAGACAAAAAACAAACGACCAGGTTACATTTTCTTCCTGAAAAATCGATCGTGTTCTTCTTCCTTCGCCGTGGCCGGGCCGCCTGCTGCCACCACCCACAACCAGCGGTGCTCCCGCGCCAGCCTTGCCCTCCCCTCAACCCCCACCTCCCCGACCATCCCTCTAAGCCTCACCGATCTCCAACTCCGATGCCGGTAGCCCCTACACCACAAGATAGATGCAGAGGCCTATATTCCCCGGCGAACCTGCACCCCCGCACCCCTAAGATAGACACGGTGCTTAGCTTCTTTGGTGAACTAATAACCTCGATGCTCCAAGCACCCTCTGTTTCCTTCCCACCAAAAGTCGACCGACCTAAATTCCGTTCTCAGGTGAAATTAAAGAATAAGCGACTAAAGAAAGACATAATACAACCTTTCGACTTACAACTCCGCCCACACAACAACTACAACATAAATGACTTGTTTTTTTTTTCTAGGCAAAGGGACCAAAAAATAACAGTAAAGACTATTTGTGATGACAATTATCAACAAGTCCATATTCCTTCAGGTGGATATAGACGACCTCGGGTGTGTACTCTGCTCAAACGGCGTATCGAGCATTCTTCGAGGGCAAAACAAGGCTGCCAGGAGCATCTCAGTTATAGTCTTCTCTGGCTCTGCTGAGGATGAAATTCTTCGGGTGGCTAGTGCTACATAATAGGCGTTGGACGACAGATCGATTTGCAAGCTGGGGGGGGAGGGGGGTACAACATCAGCCGGAGTGCATCCTTTGCGATCAGCAGGGCGAGGACATCAACCACCTTTTTATGCAATGCTCCTTCTCAAGGACGATTTGGCAGTTAGTGGCCCAGTAGTTGGTCTCGCCATCCGCCCCCCAGCTTGACTCTAGCGTGGTCGAATGGTGAGAAGAAGCGCATAACAATACCCCTTGCAAGCGTCGGGCAGAGCTAAATGCCCTGATCAACCTGGTGATGTTCTCAATATGGAAGGAAAGGAACGTCAGAACCTTTGACAACGAGTTATCGGTGGAGGCTGTAGCGGCATCTAAGATCCTTGCAGAATGGCGCATCTGGCAGCTTGCATGGAAACAAAGGAATCGCGCCCTTGGGCGGGAGGTTGGTCAGAGTGAGACGTATATTGTTTTATGTGCTTTTAGGTGGTAGGCTAAGCTTTGGTCCTTGTAATACTGAACTTGCAAAGCTTCTCTCATTCTTAATGCAATGACATGCAAAAGCTCTTGCGTGTTCCGGAAACAGTGTAACAAAAAAATTGAGAAAATGTTAATTGGGGAACTCCTAGCAAACGCCCCCACAACCATTGGACCCGGATCACGTGGATGGCAATCTTATTAGAAATCGTTCGCATATTCTTTTGCGGCACATGGCAACCTTTTCTTCTGATAATGGCAAATCGAGTAAAATTGTCATGGCAAATTTAATCGAAATCGCATGGCAATTTGAGCGTTCGTCGGGAAAATGCTCTCCAGGGAATGTTTGCCAGGTATTCAAAATTTCACGGGAGATTTTGTGCAGTTTGATCCCAAATTCAAGCACGCGCATGCAACACGTGTGTTCACTGAGCAGTGTGGCCAGTCCGCGTCAGCCGTCAGCCCATCCCTCACCCGCCTCCGACATCGCTGGAGGAGGAAGAAACGTCGGGGACTCGTCGTCTCGTCCGTCCCCAGTCACCACGCTTATCCAGCCCAGCAGCCGCACCAAACCAAACAAACATATCCCCGACCAGGCCCATCGCCCCGCCACTCCGCCTCGCCCAGTCCCCAGTCCCCACCCCACCCCACCACTCCGCCGCGCTCGGCTCGCACGCCACCGGCGATGGCCTCCCGCCTCCTCCGCCTGCACCACCACCTCCGGCGCCGGCGCCACCACTGCACGAGCCCCGTCCCCTGCAGGCTCCTCTCCTCCTCCGACGAACCACCGCGGTCCCAGACGGTGGAGAAGGTGCTGGTGGCCAACCGGGGGGAGATCGCGTGCCGGGTGATGCGGACGGCGCGGCGGCTCGGGATCGCCACCGTGGCCGTGTACAGCGACGCCGACCGCGCCGCGCTGCACGTGCGCGCCGCCGACGAGGCCGTCAGGCTCGGCCCGCCCCCCGCGCGGGAGAGCTACCTCAACGCCGACGCCATCGTCGACGCCGCCCTCCGCACCGGCGCCAAGGTACTACTGCCCCTCCAGCCGCAGCTCGTTACGCTTTGGCGAATGTGGCACTCGGATCAGCTAGCACCGCTTGCTGCTCTGTACGCTTAGCCTCGTCCCTTGCTTGGAATTCTGCCACATGATGCGCTCGCTGAGTTGTGTGCTGAACTGCTGATTACCAAACGAGTGGCTGCTGCTGCGGTCACGTTTTTTTGCTTTGCGATGCGGTCCTATAACAGTCCCATCCTAACTGTCCAATGTTCGTCATTCGTTAGGATTAACAACATAACTGAAACCCCCTAAAAGACATTACTGATTATTACTTCTGGACTACTGCATTTTTGGTTTTGGTGTGCATTTGCCAATTTATGTGCTACGTCGTGGTGTGTCATGATGGGATACTATTTTTCTGAAGCCTGACAGATATATGTTCTTGTAGGCAATCCACCCTGGATATGGGTTTCTTTCAGAGAGCGCAGATTTCGCACAGCTCTGCGAAGCTGAGGGGCTAACGTTTATTGGGCCACCGCCATCTGCAATCCGAGATATGGGTGATAAGAGGTAAATATTCTTGCCATGTAGTTTGCATAAATGTTACACCCTCTGTTGCTACTTGCTAAATATAAAACGTTTTGGCAGTTCAATTTAAACTGCCAAAACGTCTTACATTTAGAAACAGTGGCAGTACCCCTTTTTTTGGTATACATCGGGCAATACGTTCTAAGGACATTCTGTAAAAAATAGTGCGTCAAAGAGGATCATGGGTGCTGCTGGTGTACCGCTTGTTCCAGGCTACCATGGGGCTGACCAAGACATTGAGTTGTTAAAACTTGAAGCTGATAAGATTGGATATCCAGTTTTGATTAAACCCACACACGGTGGAGGGGGCAAGGTACGCTGGGAAGGCTTTGTTACAATGTTATTTAAAGTTTCCAATTTTATGCAGAGTGGAATGCATTTGTGTATGCAGTCGTAGGTTCTCTTGTGTGTGAGTCACATGATCAAATTTAAGAGCGTGCTTATTCATAACATCGCTCATCTCAATTAAGTCTTCTGTTCTCTATGTTCTTCTTTTGATCTTTGATCTTTGCATTCAAGGGGATGAGAATAGTTCAAGGGCCTGATGACTTTGTGGATTCTGTACGGAGTGCTCAACGTGAAGCTGCAGCATCATTTGGTATAGACACACTGTTGATTGAGAAGTATATTACTCAACCCAGACATATAGAAGTCCAGGTAACATTCTGATTTCATTCCTTCCACAATCCTTCTCTCAATGCGCGCAGGTCCTCGGTTGATGTGATATAAACTACCATTTGTGTACTCTCTGAACAGTCAAACAAGTATTTATAGATGCAGTTTCAGTCTGATATCTACTGATTTGTTTGTTTGCTCCTTCTTGTTAGTCGTTACTCCATAAGACTCGAATGATATTTGCATTCACTATTATGAATAATGAATTATAACGAACTTATACTTGCCATTTCGTTTTAATTTATGCCCTGTGTTATTAATGGGTACCACTTCTTTTGATTACTTTTTCTTATGATTGTACAAACTTATTGCAACAGCTTGCCTAAATTGATCTACTCAGACGATCAAAAGAAACATGATGGTTAATGTGGCACTATTTCAATATGTAGGTATTTGGTGACAAACATGGAAATGCTATTCACCTTTACGAGAGGGACTGCAGTCTACAAAGAAGGCATCAGAAGATCATCGAGGAAGCACCAGCTGTAAGGCTTTATTACCTGTCAATGCCACGGTTTCCCTTTGAAGAAAGTAACATTTAACGTTAACCGTTTATGTACTGACTGCAGCCAAATGTGACAACTGAGTTTCGGACTCATATTGGTGAAGCTGCTGTGTCGGCTGCGAAGGTGACATACTTGATGTTTCTACACAATATTGCATGCTGTGATTGAAGATGTTGATCTGATGCTCTTATGTTTTCAGTTCATTACACTGTTTAGTTCATTCACTATTTATGAAACAGTACCCAATTTAACACTTTCAAGCTACAAAACCCCCCACCCTATGTTCTGCAATAGTTATTCTGTTTAATCTTTATATTTTATACACAGGGTCACTTATTGGATTCTTTGTGTTGAAGGCAGTTGGTTACTACAGTGCTGGAACAGTGGAGTTTATTGTGGATACTCTTTCAGGAGAATTCTATTTCATGGAGATGAATACTCGACTCCAGGTACTATGTTTATGAGTATCAGTTGATCATATAGATGCTTTAGTACCTTGTAAAACCCAAAAGTGCAAGAACCATAAAGGTGGAATAATATGTTCAAATCTAGCAGACGAGCCTGAGTGATCACATATGTTATTCCATCTGTATATGGAATTATGGATAGCCTTGTAACCACGTTTAGCTTAAATACAAAAAAGTATGTGCTAGCTTCCATACTCTCGCTCTCTCCCAAATTCACCTTGATCTTTGAAGGTTGAACACCCAGTAACAGAGATGATCGTCGGTCAAGATCTTGTGGAGTGGCAAATACGTGTTGCAAATGGAGAGCGCCTGCCATTATCTCAGGAGCAGGTTCCATTAAACGGTAAGCCCTGCAGAGCATTCATGTTCTCATCCTCAACACTAATATATGTTTAAGCTTCATCACATAACCATCTCTTCTAGCCGTATTTGTGTTATGCTTCGAAGATCCAACCTCTATCAGTTAGCCTGATAGTACTGTACATCATGCTGTTGATGCAAGCATTGTTTTATGCTTTATTTGTGCTTAAACTCATTAAGCAGGTCTCTTAGTGAGTAAGCAAAATTGACTTGCTTATTGCTGTTCACTTCTCTAGCTTATTGCCTTGTTGGATCTATTTATCATCCAGAAGAGAAAAGGAATCCAACCATTCTCTAGAAGCGGGTCGGAACCTTTTATGCATCTAACAAATACGCACAGAATCTGAAAAAAAAGAGATCCGTGGGCACTAGCACCCAGGACATATTTTTGTAGAAGGAGCCACCCGGGTGAGGCGCCAGAAATCCGCTCCCGACTGGAGTCGAACCCTGGGCGCAGGGTGCACATAATCTGAATGTCTTCTCTTGATACTTGAGCTAATATTCATTAACCTTAATTTATGTAAAATGAATAATATTAGTTATTCTAAGTTACTTACTCAAATTATATGGGTGATCTTAGGTTCTATATTTATGTTGGTATCATTAACAATTAAAAATCATAATGCCAGTTAAAGTAAGAACTATTTGTTAACCATCAGTGTACCTTGATCCAGGACATGCATTTGAGGCCCGAATATACGCCGAAAATGTTCCAAGAGGGTTTCTTCCTGCAACAGGGACCTTACATCACTATCGACCAGTCCTGTCTTCCCCAACAGGTAAGTTTTGGAGATATCCAGCGACAGAATTTTTACTAGTTATTTTTCGGTGTGGTGTTGGTAACATATTCTTGATCAGTAAGAGTTGAAACTGGAGTCGAAGAAGGAGATGCTGTCAGCATGCATTATGATCCCATGATAGCCAAACTTGTCGTTTGGGGTGAAAGTCGCAATGCTGCACTAGTCAAGCTAAAGAACTGTTTGTCGGACTTTCAGGTATATATGCCCATCACCTTAATTTACACTTCTATATAGAAGTCTTCTCTCTTTGATTTTTTAATATATTTTAGTGTCCTCTTTCTGCTGATCAATTATTAATTTTTCCACGAGCCCTAGTTACTTGGAAATTTACTACTAATTATCGTTTGCGAAAAAACTGCCAACTTAAGGATTCTGATGTGGTACTTCTGATCATTCCGTCCCTATCATGCTGTAGTTAATGAATAGACAGATTGCAGGTTTGCCTACAAATGTTGCTTTCCTTCAAGAACTCGCAGGCCATAATGCCTTCGAAAGAGGCCTCGTTGATACACATTTCATTGAGCGGTACAAAGATGATTTTCAAAGTACTTCTGCTAAGGCCTCGGGTGAAGCACATGATGCAGCTAAGCTTGGTGCAATTTTGGCTGCTGCCTGCATTTGTAAAAAGGATCACATTAGCTCCGAAGAATCTCTTCGTATGTCATGTGCCTGCCCTTTTGTTTTGTCACTCAACAACATTGGCAACATGACCTGATATTGACATATGTTTGTCGGTAGGTGACAAGACGCTTTCGGTATGGTATACCCGTCCACCTTTCAGGATGCATCACTCTGCGAAGCGTTTGATGGAATTTGAGTTAGATGAAGAACTTGAGGGGTTGAGTGATGAGCTCCTTAAATTATTGGTTACATATAGATCTGATGGAGGCTACTTCATTGAGGTGATTAATTAACACACAGAACCTCTTATGCTTTTGGTTTGTTTAATTGTAAAACCTTGGAAGCTTCTTTGCTGAGGTGTGAATACTAATACAAGTTTGTAACACTTGACCAATACCTTCACTCATTGTTCCCCTTGTGACTTGTGACCAGACTGAAGATGGCTCTTCTCCTGGTTTTGATGTCAAAGTAGATGGTAGGAGCGAACATGATTTCCGGGTTGAAGTTGGTGGTGTGCAAACAGACGTGACATTAGCATTTTATTCGAAGGTTACGCCCTGATACCTTCTATGGAGGTTGTGAGCTTATTCATTAATTTCTTCTGACTGTTATTTCATCACTGAATTTTTCTTCCGCTGCTGTTTTCAGGATAATAGCAAACATATACACATCTGGCATGGGAAGCATCACCATCATTACAGGCAAACCATGAGGGCTGAGCATTTACTCGATGATAGTTCTCAACCTAGCCAGGCTTCCGAGGGAAGGTCACATCCAAAAGGGAGTGTTTTGGCACCAATGGCTGGTTTGGTCGTTAAGGTTCTGCTTAAGGATGGGGTACACGTGGAAGATGGTCAGCCTGTCATGGTTATAGAAGCAATGAAGATGGAGGTCCGAATGAACTTGCTGACGATGTTTTGTAAATTGTTGATCAAATTAGTCAATGCTGACATAACTCTCTTGTATTCCTTCTATCAGCACGTTGTGAAGGCGCCTCGGGCAGGTTATATAGAAGGGCTGAAGGCTACCGCTGGACAACAAGTTTTTGACTCCAGTGTCCTTTTCACTGTCAAGGTATGCATTAACAATTGACCATATCTTTGAATTTTACACTTTGTTTTCCATTTTGTCACAACAAAGTGTATCCCAAGTCTACGTTTGGCCATCATTATACTTTGACCCATACCGATGAAAGTCTTGAGAAGTATTCAAACCTAGAAGATTGGATCCATTTGTTACCATTTATGTAAAATTTCTCTGTCTCTAACGAGCTGAACTAAACAGTAATGTTCGACAATGTGAATATTTGAGTTAACAGAAACAGTGGTGGTAGCGGTGCACCTCATTTTCTCCTGGAGGCTGCGAGTTTCAACCGCACCTAGAGAGCCCTATAATGGTTTTCTGGTAAACCAGGATCCCGTGTCGAACTAAATAAAACCAAACGTCTCAGGAGTAAATAATGTTCCCATTTTGCAACACTGGAAAATGTGCCGTCATTCAGTATACAAATATAATCACTTAGCTTTTCTGGTGATTCCCCATCAACTTGTATTTTGTCCTTAGCTTTTCTGGTGATTCCCCATCAACTTGTATTTTTTTCCTTTCTCCAGGATAAGAGCACAAACTGATGAACCAAGAAATTGGAGCCACGCATCAGAATTCAAGTGGCGACTCCGCCTTTCAGAAAGAAGAATAAGCAAAAAAGCAGCTGGAGATCATTCTGTGACTAAATAATACTAGGTGATCTCCCTAGTTAGCTGGAGATCATATCTTCCGGTACCCATTTCCTGTATAGCGTGTACATTAGTGTCAGTGGCATTGTGCAATGTAACAAATCATGTGAGTATGTAACGCAATTTGTCTGCCTTGCATTGTCCAACGTGAACCTTCTTGATAGCTACTCCCTCCGTTCCGAAATAGATGACTCAACTTTGTACTAACTTTAGTACAAAGTTGAGTCATCTATTTTGGAACGGAGGGAGTAGTTTTCAAAAGTTTAAATTTCGGTAGCAGGAGCTGCAATTTAAATTTAGGTATAAGTTGAAAGAACAGAAAAAATGGAAATTTAGGTATAGTTGAAAGAATAGAAATAAGGCTCCATTGCCGGGATTTGAACACGGGTCGCCTGAGTGAAAGCCAGGTATCCTAACCGGGCTGGACGACAATGGATTTGTGAAATGAAAGGATTAGGTTCGAACATGAGATAGTCGGTGACCCAGAATGGTGTTTTTCGTACCTAACTGTTAGAAAAGAATACAGTTCTAATAACAATGAATTTTGTGACCTGATAAAAAAATTGGAAATGAGAGCTGTCTGGTTGCATTTTTTCTTAATTTTGGAAAATGAGGATTAAGCCTCACACAAGATGACTAAACACATATACCCTAAAAAAGAAAAATGTCCATTTTACTACCCTGAATAAAGTTGGTGGTTCACATTGAAAAAAGTCCATTTTACTACTCTGAATAAAGTGGGTGGTTCGCTTTACCCCCTGATCTATTTTTCGGTTCCTATACCCCCCTAAACAATCTCATACCGGACAAAAAAGCACCCTAGGTGGTTTACCCAGACCAGATGATGACGTGGACACAGTCAAAGGTGGTATTTGACCTGCCGGTGGGTCCCACTCGTCAGTTTTTTTAAAAAAGAAATAGAAAAAGAAAAAAAGGGTGGCCCCCTACTGCAGTACCAGCCGGCCACAGCGGCGGCAGCTGGTGCGCGCGGAGCCGGCAGGCGGCCGTGGCGGGCAGAGCCGGCGCGCCCCGAGCGTGGCCAGGAGCAGTGACGGGTTCGCGCGCACGAGGGCAGAGCGGCACGGACCGGCTTGGGCGCGGACTGGACTGCGCGCGCGAGGGTAGAGCATGCGTGGTCGGAGCCGGCGAGCGGAGCCGGTGTGCGTCGAGCGGGGGAGGCTGGGCGCGGCCAAGCTCAACGATGGGTTCACGCGCGCGAGGGTAGAGCGGCTTGGACCGACTTGGGCGCGGACAGGGCTGCGCGCGCGAGGGCAGAGCGGGGGCGGTCGGAGCCGGCGGGTGGCCGGGGACGACGACGCGAGCAGGGCGCGAGGGCGGCTGGGGTCCACAGCGCAAGCTCGGCGAGGAGGCGGGGCGGCGCAGACGTGCGGCCGGAGCGGCGACGGGGCGGACGGCGCCGGAGCCAATGCCGCGGATGAGCGAGGCGAGGTCGAGCGGGATGCTCACCGAGAGCGCCACGGCGAACGGCGGGGCGGCGTAGCCGCGGGAGGAGGCGGGCCAGCGGGGTGGAGCAGGTGGCGACGCGGCTCGTCGGCGGGGTTGCGCTGGAGCCGGAACGATGCGCGAGGGAGCGACGGGGATGCCCACGCCCGACCTGACAAGGGGGGCCCACCGAGGTCAAAACCACCATTGACTAGTGCCACATCAGTAGCGAGTGGAGACAAACCAGCCAGGGGGTGTTTTGTCCGATTTTGGTTTGTTTGGGGGGTAGAAGGAGCCAAAAAATAGATCAGGGGTAAAGTGAACCACCCACTTTATTCAGGGTAGTAAAATGGACTTTTTTCGTTCACATTACCCCCTCATCTATTTTTCTGTTCTTTTCACCCCCTAAACAAACCCATACCGGATGAAAGAACCCCTGGGTGGTTTGTCTCCACTTGCTCCTGATGTGGCATTAGTCAACAGTGGTTTTGACCTGCGGGTGGGCCTTCCTTGGCAGGTGCGGCTGAGATTGATGGGTGGGGCCTAGAGGAGGCGGGGTCCGCTTGACAAGTCTGTCTCCTTCCTCTGTTGCTCTCCCGCGGGACAGAGAGGAGCTCGGGCGCTCGTCTCGGCGGCACAGGCCACCCCCGGCGGAGCAACGACCACCGGATTGACCCCCGTGATGCAGCACGTACCCCCGGCAGCAGCAGCAAGCAAGGCAACAACGGCACAAGCAGCGGCAACAAGCAAAGCAACAGCGGGCGAGCACACGTGGGTAGCTGCAGCTGCGGCACACGCGGGCATAGATCGAAGGTGGAATCGGCAGAGGAGCTCACCTCGGAGCTCATGGACGAGGTTAGCGAGCGCGGGTGTCGACGGACACGACGAAATCGATGATGAGATGCGGCGGCCGTGGACGAAGACGATGGCGATGGTGAGCATACGTGGCCTCCTAGCTCGAGCCCTTCGGCGAGGGTGAAGGAGACGACGATGGCGGAGCTACTGGACGTCTTGGCATGACGAGGGGAGGTCGGCGGCCACGGGATCGACGCGGCGACGGCGACCATGAGCCTCAGGCGACGAACAAGGGATATGAGGAAGATTTGGGGTTAGAAAAGAGGGAAGGAAGAGGAAAGAAAAGGGAGGAAGGAGAAACAGGGCGCTCGGGGCAGCGGCTTGGAACTCCGGCGGTAGCCGGCGTCGGCCGGAGGCGGCGGGGTCGGGCGTAAGGGGAGGCTGGAGCTCCTTGATCTCACCCCAGCCTGATGAGGGAGGCCCACCTGTGGTCAAAACCACCGTTCATCACTGCCACATCAGCAGCCATTTAAGTCAAAATCACCATAGGGACCGATTTTGTCTGGTATGAGATTGTTTAAGGGTGAAAGGAACACAAAAATAGACGAGAAGGTCATGTGAACCATCAATTTTATTCAGGGTAGTAAAATAGACTTTTTTCCTGAAAAAAGACTAAACATAAGCTAATCACAGTAGGCCTATAGCACAAATCATATGCTCTTTAGGCGCGCAAGAACTAAGGATATCTGGAAGAAACCGAGACTTGACGACCTTGTTCGTAGCGTGCTAATAAGAATTGACAGGGAAGGAGCGGCTGTTCTCGAAGAGCTTCTGGAGTATTATTATTATCTCCAGAAACCCGTGTGAGGGGACTTATTCTTGTGGCTGAATGGTTTATTTTGTCGGGAAAGACGGCAGTTGACACATGCGGAAGATGTCCAGCCGGTTAACAGGGCAATCATGTCAACTGGAGCGCCGACTGACGTTGAACTGTACAAGAAGCTGTAGGAGGCAAATTCAGAAAACCAATGCTCGTTGGAAGCGGCCTCCGGAGGGAGCATATATGCTGAATGGCGATGCGGCCTACAATCAGAGCACATATTTTACCGGGGATTTATTGCGGGTCAATAGCTCCTGTGCGACATCTTTGAGATGAATTGGATAAGGAGCGACGTAGTTGACGAAAATATCTCTAGTGCGACGTATTTGCAGCCAACTATAGCTCCAATGCGACATTGCCATGTTTAACCATGAAATGCAAAACATAAGGGGTCAGTGGTTTGAGTTATGACACGCGGGACCCATCAGTTATCCACATGAATGTGGGACCCACCACTTACTCACATGCGTGCGGGACCCACAACTTATCCACATAAGCATGCTTGTGCTCATCCCGCTCATCAGTGTGCCCCGACCCGAGCCATCCACGAGCCCGAGTCAGCCCACCCCCCATTGCCTGCACTTCCCCTTTCCCCTTTCCCCACCTTGTTCTCCCTCTTCTCTGGCAACGAAGCGCGCCGCCGACGAGTGATGTCTAGCTCAACTTCGGCCTCCCGCCAATCATGGCCGCAGTACGATCCAATGCCGTTGACAAGATGCCCCGATTGCCCGCGCATGGAGCCTCTGAAGGGTTTGACTTGTGTGAAGGAGGAAAATGGCAACCGTGGGCGCGAGTTCATCAAATGCTTGAGCAGGCCACAACCGGGGCAGGTTAGATCCGTGTACCACACCAAGCAGCTTATCTAAATTCTCCCGATGTCTTTATTTTTCCGTCGAATTTGGGCGGTGGATCTGATCTAGGGTTCATGCCGCCGTCGCCCCCTGTTTACCTTGTTTTTCAGGTTCTGAAGAAATATGGACATTTCGAGTGGCTCCCCTTGTTGTTGTTGCACCAACCACCCTTCGTAATGTCAATAAGCTTCAACGAGCTTTTCTTTGGTCTGGCTCCGATACGACGGCCAGGACAAAATGTAAGGTGAATTGGGAGATTATTTGCCGACCGCATGAGTATGGAGGCCTTGGGGTTCTCAACACCGACAATTTTGTGCGTGCTTTGTGCTTGAGGTGGCCATGGTTCAAGTGGAAGGAGCCAAGCAAGATGTGGGTGGGGATGGGAAACCC